GTTGCTTGATCTGGATTCGATAGTGAAACTGTGCCAGGTCCTCTAGATAATTGAACGATCTGGTCCGTACTTTGATTTGTACGTCGAACGCTTGTTAATGTGAATTCTGTTCTGCATGATCGGCTAACGACCACGCGCTCCTTCGAGATGATGCTAAGCATGATTACTGTTTGGCCATCAAAAACTACAGAGCCCATTTCAAAGGTCATTCTCCCCTAGGTTCTATATATTTGATTCGCCGAGCTCGAAAATCAATGTTGTCTGTAACCGAATCGGTCTAATTGACCGGAGAAACAACCGGAAAACGGAAGGCTGAAGTAACGCACTCGATACTTCGACTCACGTGATGGCATTTCCAATCAAATCATACGCCCGCTGAACAGTTTTCCTAGCAGGTAGTATTTCCAGCCAATTAACATTCATCAATGATTAATGGTATATTGCATGTAAGCTGATCTTCAGACTGAGAGGCGGAGGTTCATGTTATCCACTGTCAGATTAGCTCAGCCGTATGAGTTCACCGGTTGGTTTGCCATCGCCGTGCAATTTTGGCTTTTTCAGTTCGACCGAATGACGCACTTCCTCTTTATCAGAGAACTCTGAGAAAATTGTGTCCAATTTTGAATAGTCAAACGGAAGAATTGAGGGTGGACGTTTTCATTAATTTACTGCAGAAGAACCGTATTCTTTGATGGTGCACGTCTACTCCCTGAACATAAGATGGCTATTTGTGAGAAAGATCAGTGGAAGGTTCCAAAATATTCCTGAGGATGATATTAAAATATCAAAAGATGAATGAAAACAATTTATCATTCGGAAAGTGAAGACACGAGAGATGTTCTTTCCATGACTTAATCGATTCTTCTGAACACTGTAACGGTCATGTGACATACTGCATCCAGCGATTTAGAGTAAAAAACGATTTTTGATAGTAAACGTCACGTTGCGTTAAAATAATAGTCATACTCTTACTTTTAGATATTCTTGATATCCTCTGTTCCTATGCAACCAAAAAGGTAGATTTCGCGATTAGGTTTTCTTAAGTTTGGCTTGGTGAAAAATTGCTTAAGAGGTCGACTGTGAACTCCAAAGGTGCGGGTCATGGGACAGTCAGCGTTCCGCACAATCAGCCGAGAATCAGGTAGCATGAAGGCGATTTGCAAATAATCCGGACGCATGGTATTCTTGTCGGGTCATACCAGAGTGGATGAGAAGTTCCGCCATCCTGTCCAGTGCGAGCGCCCCTTGAGGCCGCACTTCACCTCGACCCACCTGATTGCTGACTACCAGGTATAATAATCCGCACCAGATGTAACCCCGACTTGTGCTTCGATTTAACTTTACATTGAAAATACTCCCAATACTACCGGGCTTGAAATGAGGTCGCCTTTACCTCAACTATGACCGATCTACCATAATGATCAGTCAATAAGATTTCAAAATTCAAAATTTGATGAATCATTTCAGCTTGCTGGCAAGCAGTTTGACAGTGTCATCTTTTCACATCCCAGCGCAGGTGTCGCAACGCGAACAAGGCAAAAACGTTAATGAAAGGGAAATGGAGTAAACCATTATCTGTTGTTGTAAAGATCAGTTCTTCCTGAAATCTGATTTTGAGTACTGCAATTATTTATTTAGTATACAGTTATATATTGTGTATACAATTTATTTAGTTTTTTCCGCTCATCCTCATTCGGCAACACGTAGGTCTTCTTACAGACCCTTACGCTCTCTGAGAACCGAGTCTAATGTCTCTCTGATCCACTGAGGAACCGTTGATTCCGCCTTCCCACTGCCATTCACGCAACAACGTTGAAGAGTCTTGTACGGTGGTTGTTTATATGTCTGTAGATAAAATTTCTCCTCAACGTTAGACGCATGCACAGATTCATTGTTGAATTGCTTTGTTTACGTTGCCGGCAAAATTTGTTAAAATTCACTCCAGCTATTTTTAAACACATCCTCAACGTCAATTGCCAAGAAATTGATAAATGTCCTCCTCTGTTCGGAATAAAGAGAAAAATTAATATAGAAATACTTGTAATGATATTTCCCTGAATAATTTGTGTCTTCGCCGTCACAATAATGCATAAAGGAATTTTTTCGCTATTCTCATTTCATACATCAATGTGTTTCAAATCTTCCAGTCCTCTTGTGTATGAACTTTTAGCTTTCGTCTGGAGGGCAGAAGGAGTGGTAGACAAGTTTCGCTATACCTGCGTTGAAAGTTGATGTAGACAGTGGCCCTCAATCAATTTTCGCCCGAGTTTGTAGTCAACGTACCTTTCCTGCTCAGTGATGAGGTTTTGTATCATCCATGTACTGTAGATGCTATAGTATCATGGGACTATGACCCGCTTATCTTTCACTCCATCCCTCCCCCCCCCACTTATCCGGGCAACTAAAAGCAAGGGTACGGTGTGATTACGTCGTCTAAATCCAGAAAATCGGCAGAAGGGTGTTATTTTTCTCGGCGATATCTAAAACTCACAGTTTGCTAGTAAATCCATATTTCAGCATTATTTTTTTTCAAAGTATTTTTCGTCGATCTGGTTTTGCCATAAAGGTAGAAGAAACGCTGTAAACCACTGTTACAACTGCATTGTTGGTCGACGTTTAAATTATCATGATAAGTCTTGATGCCTGAGGGAAATGCCTTCGACCGTATTTCACCCTTACTCTGATTCTTTTCTCTGTTCGTTCCCTCAATCTACAGTAGGAAGATCAAGGCTGGGTTCATGGAAACCAACGAAGCTATTTGACTCACTGTTTCCCTGCAAATGTTGAAAAATGTCCTAGGTAAAGAACAGTAAATAAATTAATGTGTGCTGTACATAGAGTAGTTGAATTTGATGCCCACCCACTCCAAGAAACAATGGTTAAAGGAAGCTTCGTTAATTTAAATTAACAACTGTCAAGGGGAGGGAGGCGTAAAGGTATGTTGAAATGACATCTGTATTTGACACCTGTGCTGGTCTAAATCTATCTGTGACGGTTTTATTTGATCTCCTCTTTATCTAATACGCCAGAAGATCACTTGAAGCGTGGATTTGAACCTTAATAAACTTTTCATTTTGAGTTCTCATTGGCCATTTTCACTCAGTCTTTCACTGCGCTTTCTTCATCGGTTCATTCATTTACTCGTCCATTCATTGATCAAAGCAATGAGCTTCAGAAATTTTGTCAGATGTCTTGTCATCTGCCAAGTAAGCAGCTCCGTCAGCCAAATTTCAGAATAACCCGTCGTCAATGTAAGTGAGCCATCCGGTCCCCGGATTGACCTGATCTTCTTGCGTGTGGTTTTGCTAACAGCGTCGGCGTCGCAAATCTTTCCTCTGATGCCCTGATCATCACACGCCCAGTAGATGCCCGTGACTGTGATCTCTCCATCTGTAAAGGGGCACTTTGAAAGTAAGTGTGTTTCTGACTGCTGTGATAAGAAACTTGTCCGTTATCACCAGAAGGAACCTCGTTTTCGAGCTTGTATTTTAGTTAGAGCTCTTTTGAACAATATTCAGCACTTATTGGTTATTGCGTTTGGGTGCGGTGTAAATACACATGCCCTTTTTTTCTCATAACCATGCACCAATGTAGCTTATGGGTTACAATTCTTGTTTGCTCGATTCGTGTGCTAGAGTATCGACGAACCATAACATTGTATTTAACTGTTTTACGTTACGGTGACTGCTTTCAGTTGCATCGTAAACTCTGTCCATTGTTGCACTTTCGATCAAGTTTTGATTATCTAGTTTTTATGATAAACTGGCTTTGAAATCAGCGGTTAGTGAATACCAACGTTTGCTCCTTGTTTTATATTTCATAACCCCAAATGCTGAGTGGGGGAAACGGTGGGTTATTTAAACCGGCCAACTCCACACTGGTAATGTGTGAAGCGGCATTAACATGAAAATATGTTTGTACTCCGCCAATAACAGGTATTACATATTAATTACAGCTGTTGGTTTCTGCGTCCACATGTTGATATGTTCAACTGACAGTCACGAGACTGTAAAACCAAAAGACTAGGCAAAATCTGTCAAGGATTTACGACGAAACGCCGAACAGCACTCGGAGACTCGTTGACTTGGTCTTCATCCTGTTCTGATGAGTACCGCCGTGATCAGGTGATCTGGCGAGGTATTCGTTAGGTGAGGTAAAAAAACAACAGCTGAACGCGGAAGCTTTCCTGGGACCGGGGGCAAATACTCGCCACCAACCTGTCAAAAGACGACAAACGAAAACAAACCAGTTTCCGTTGCGCTGTTGCTTTTCTTGTGCAGTGTTTTCGGTTAACGAGACGCGTCGCGCTTTATTGCAGGCCACGATTACGACGGCTACGTCGAGACGAGACGGGCGTCGACGCCGGCCGCTGGTCTCATGAATGGAGGATAGCAGCAACAGCAGCGGGAGGGACGACGACCAAGCGAACGGCCTGCTGGCCGACCAGGAGCTGTTCAAGGTGGAGCTGATGTACACCAGCCGTACTAGTAAAGCGTTCGTGTGTTCGTGCCTGGCCAACCTGTACCAGAAGAGAAGCGGTGCCGCGCCGGCCAAGGCCAAGGACGGCAAGGAGTGGTTCCTGGTCGCCACGGGCATCCCGGTGCTGGTCGCCGAGCTGAGGGAGACGAGGAACGGCGGGCCGCCGACGTGCGTGCTGCAGATGCGCATGACCGAATACGGCACCGGCTTCACGCTGTGGATGGAAAGCCTCGACCAGTCCAGTCGGTAAGCGATGACCGTTTGTGTAAGTTGTGTAAGTGGCTTCTCGAACGTGAGCCTAAACAAGGGGGCGCCGAAGTGTTGCACCGCATAGCGGAATTTCAGTCGATTTGCCCTCGTTACGGGTGCGCTCCGCGAACGCAGGTCGACGTTGCTCCCTCATTCGGTGTTCTCTGCTTTTTCCCTCAAATGCTGTCCTAATTGAGGCTCGAGGTGGCAAAGAGGCCGGGTTCGAATGTGCAGAGTGAAGAGGTTTTTCTGAACGACGAATTTACTCAACACTGCTTCGATGAATTTAGCTGAAAAGTAGCACTGCTGATCGTTAACTGGGCGAATGACAGGACCGGGATGAGCTGCGTATGTATACATACAAAAATCGTTGAGAGGTACGGCGATGCTGTCTAATGCCAGCGTCTGTTATGGTTGCAACTGGCGTTTTCTCCTCACCATCCTGACAACTACGTATTCGATGTTATAATCGGCACAAGTGTAACCCCTGTTGTTCCTGTGGTTGTTGTAATTTAACCATCAGCGCCAATCGTAGCTTGTAGACATTGTACGATTTGACCGACACAATGGTCTGTACTAC